GCACCCCACCAGGATGTTCCCAGTAGGTCGATCTCACGACCCAGCAAACGAATTCTGCGTGCTTTGGCCTCTTGCTGCAAGCAAATGCGCACATCAGAGTGCCGGCGACCACCTGAGTAGCAATAAAGGAACTTGAAGGTGCATTCCGATTCGATCGGCTCCAAATCCCAACACTCCCAGGCGGATGAAACTGCATCATCGGTAGCTAGTCAGTTGGCCTGTCCTTCACCAGACCCTGCCGACTTGTCCTTCTGCAACTTGCAGTCCTTGCGTGGGTGAGGCTTCAAGCAAAGCTGGCAAACATGTACACGTCCGCAATTCCCCTTGCAGCTGCCGTTGTTGTAGCCGTAACATATCTGTCGCCCGTCGGGCGTCGAGCTGAACACAAAGCCCTTTGCAGAAGGATACCCGATGCGAAGCCCCGGGTGCGTGTTCTTGCCACCTTTGCCCCGGCTTTTGCCATCACGACCTTTGCCACCTCCTTCTGCACCCGGTACATGATCTTGTAAGCGAGGCCATTTCGCCGGCGGCGGCGGCGCCGCAGCAGAGGCACTGCGGCTGGCTAACTCTAGCGCGAGCGGTCCCACAAAGTGTGTCTCCTTCAAGGCAGCATCTTGCCGGACCTCCGCGAGGGTGCTGGCAATGTCCCGGTTGTCCCTGCATGCACCCTTGTATGCTTCTTTTCGCAGGCGGTGCTCAAAATTTAAGAGCAAAGACCAAGAGGGGTTGACAGCTTGAGTCCCTGAGGAGCCATCTGTGCGTGCCATCTGCAGAAGATAGATCTTATCGCCAAGCACGAAGTCGATATGCTTCGAGTAATCTTGCACCCGAAGATCCACAAACCAAGGCTTAGTTCGGAACCGCGCAGCCAGCATGAGAAACGTGTAGCACTCAAGCCGCATGCGCTGACGGAGCTCCTCGGAATTCGCTGGGAGCTTGGCTTTCTTCCGCTCCTTCACCAGACGAAGACGACCCGAGGAATCCACTGACGATTGAAACTGGGCATTTACCTCATC